CAGGATTACTTTTTGGGGGAAGTAATCAGAAATTAGTTACTGATTACTTTTTTCAAGTAACTTGACCAACACTGCTCCTCAGTATGTTGGCCAGAAATAAAAATAACCCATTCAGAGTCAAATAAACTTCAGTGAGTGTATTTATTTACTCTGGAAAATTTAAGCAGGCATCCAGCCTGAAAACAGCTGTGGAGGAAAACAAGTACCATCCAGTTTAAAGTACCAATCACACGGTCAAATGCAGTCCAGGTTAATTTGGTTCCGGTGACAGCTTAGTAAATCATTTTTAGTGGAGCCTCTTGACCGCAACTCGTCCTTCCACAGGAGCTGTCCAACTCCATTCAGGTCATTCCCTGAGCCTAACAGATACATATACAGGGGTCCAACGAATTACACTGAGATTGAATGCAATGAGAAATCTGTCAGATAAGGGGCTCTATAACGGGAAAGACAACAAAGTAATAGGCATGGTGGTAGAAGCCAAAGGAAACATTAGCTCATCCATCCCCTTCACACGGATATCTGAGTGTGTACCCCACAATCCATCACCGTGGCAGGCACAGCACCGCCTCTGCACCATCTACCGGCCGGGGCTCCGGTCAGTCTGTGTGCTGGTGTGTCTGCACACTGCAGGAGTATGTGGGAGTGCTGACCCTACATGTTCTGCACTTCACGTCCTGTGTGAGCTCCTGTTATGAGGATTTATGAATGCAAAGGAAACAGAGTAAATGTAGTAACGACTATGTCAGCGAATAAACTGCTAATGGTGATGAATACAGCAGAAGCAGAGAGATAAATCTGTCTCTTTGTCTCTATGTAGATAAATACGACAAGAGAGCCACGACTCGGAGAAATTACATTCACATTCACATAAACTGAATTCTGATTTAGAGGGAAATGTGTTTTGTTTTTTTCGTGGATTCTTTTTTCAACAGACACCTTTATTATCAACGTGGCTTTGCTGTTTATTTTCTTTCTTTGTGCTCATAGACTGTACGTGTGATCATGAAAGAAATAAGGAACGGGAGTAAAAGCAAACCTGCTGGCTGCATATATAAATATTCCCTTCAAAGCCAGCAATAAATGTTGACTTTAGATAGGAAGCACATTTTCAACCTTCAGGGTTTAACTGAGCATTTGTTTGTTTTTTTGTTATGTTAGCTTAACCGTTTTGGGAGAAGTTAATGAAAAATAGTGTAAGTCATGTTCACGGAAAGTACATCCAAATGTTTAAACTGTGAAAATATTTGACTTTTAGTTTTTTATTAGATTTTTTTAGTTCTGTTAATGTTTTCAGGCTTATG